TGTAACTACTTTGAGCCCCATTTATTGATGCATATAAATCAGTGAGTGTGACAATCAAATATTTGAGCTCTTCAGTTTTTTCGCTTAACATAATCACTATCATGGTGCAACATTTTTTTAAGAACTCTTGATAAATACCTAAGTTTATATCTAGGGTCCAACACCAAAGCTACACGAAAAAGTTTGTTCACATCAACTACAGTATCAAAGTACCTCTTATACTTCCTCCTCATTTGCACAATCATATTAAACAAAGTCTTCACATAATCAGTGCTTTGGTTTGTCAATGGTGCATCAAACAGATCATCAATTTCATACTTGATTGTCACAATCTCACTAAATGCTTTATGCACAGTTGGTGTGTTAGTGCAACTAACATTAAGAGTGACATCAAAGAATACTTCTAAGAACTTAATAATAGTCTGAGCCCTATACCAGTCTTCTTTAGTTGGTGGCCTAAGTCACTTTTTCCCTTTCATTTTGTTTTTCTTTTCTCACCCTCCACCCCCTCAGTACCACATATCAAATCAGTCACATCATCCTAATCATCATATTCATCAAAGTACTTTTATATTTACTGTCCTCACCCTCTGCTAGCCTATCAAATGTCAACTTCAACTCATATGTTGTTTCCAACATTATGGAGGTGGAATTCCACCTTGTTGTCACATTTAACAGACAAACCTTTTGCTATCCAACTCCTCCGCTTTTACAAAGGTTTTAGTGTGGGGGAGTTGTTTGTCCCATTTTTTTAGTTATTTTTGTCGGTATTTTGTTGGTCATTTCCCCCGTTTAGGTCGTTTCTTAGGATTTTCCGATCCATTTAGTAGTTTCGTGTGTTTTCATTGTTATTTTGGTGTATGTGGTATTTTGTTATTTTCTTCCTATTTTTCCTTGTTTTTCGTGTTCCTTTCGGTGGTGCAATTTCAGGTTTCGGGACATCCGGTTGAGGCGATTCCTCGCCTGAGTCCGAGGGTTTCCATGTCAGTTCATGCGACCAATAATATGGAAGTCGAGTTCCAGCTCGAGCAATACCTTGGACACGCTAGTCGAGATCAAACGGGCTAGGAAAACCACAAATTGAAGATTCTGGAGGCTTAGTGCCGCTAGGCCTGGCTCCTTAGCGGCGCTATCATAACTGGGCCAGAGACAAACAACAGTGCAACCTTAGCGCCGCTAACCCTGGCTCCTTAGCGGCACTAAGGAGGGTTAGCGCCGCTAACCCTGTGGCAGAAAGAAAGTAAGTTCGAATCTTGCCACCCTTTCATCCTCGTTTCATCCAAACCTTGGACGGACAACAAAAGACAAAAAACGACTCTGTTTGGGGAGAGGGCTTGAGAGTGGAGCACTTTGGGGACAACCACTTACCTGGAAAAATGGTTTTTGAGACTATAAGAACATCCTTTCTTCATCTTTCACCAGGATCCATCATCATCTATCACCATTATTCATCATCTTCCATCATTTTCTTTCTTCCATTTTTTTTCTAAGTTTTTTTTAGTTTGTACTTGTTTTGGAGAACTTATTGAAGACATTGTGTACCTTGGATTAAGTTTGCATTTGCTCTTGGATTTCACATTACTAGTAAGTTATCTCTTTCATTTTGTTATGTTGAGAATGACTAATTTTTATGTGAATGTTTATGTTGAAGTTATTATGAAAAATTAATCCTCTAGCTAGGGTTAAGGGATAATTGTCTCGGTTCGTTCTCGTTTATGTGTATGTCAATTGCTCAATCTTTTATGATTGAATGCTTGATCACCATTTTAATCTATACAATCAATTTCAAAACAGAGAGGGGAGAAATTGGTAGAACTTGGCTCGTTTAGAGTAGACATGTTCAGAAACGTATTGTCTATGTGTTAATCGTCTCGTTAATTTACTCTTTTATGTTTATCCGCATATTACAAGAGTTAGTGAGGTTAAACTACTAAATGAGTTAGTTAGTTGAGCCTTTTAACCGAGTGTTGATTGCCATTAAATGTGTGTAGAACTGATAGCGATAATCCCTGATACCCTAGCCCGTTTATATCTCTTGAAATTGTCTTTATAAGTTGCAATATTTAAATTGCTTATTTTATGAATCATTAGCTAAAAATCAAAACCGACAACTTTAATTAGAGTGTTTAGAACTATTTTCGTTTTTGTGATCGAATATACGTACAAAATAGTCCGGCTAACCTTCCTTGAGACACGACACGGTGTTCGAATATTTTAATTCTACTCCGGTAAAATAAAAGTACAACATTGTACATACTTAAGAAAGACTTAATCACAATTTTCCTACAAGGAATTTGCCACTTAGGAACAGTCCCAGCACAAAATCTCCTAAAACAATTTTTTTTTTCAATTACAAAAAATGTCATTTCATCAATCACTACAGAATTAGTGCATTTTTCTTGTGTCCAATGTGTAACAACATCTTTACCCTTTAAATCCACAACAAAATGTTTCTGATCCTCTCTTAAATTTCTAGCACTACTCGGATAACTATCACAATGCAGTTCAAGGTGTTTGTGGAGAGTACTAGTCCCATTTCTACTCGAGTTGCAAGCTAGATCAGATTGACAATACTTACATTCAGCTCGGGTAGTTTTTCCAACTTCCACCTTCACACCCTCTTCATTTGCAACCATCTGTGCTTTATGAACAGTTTTGAAGTGGGCCCACACCCAAGACCTCTTCGTCTTTCGTTCTGAAGCCTCCCGCAAATGTAATCTTCTTTTCTTCTGTGACTGTCAGTTCTTTGAATTAGGGTTCCAGTTCTCCCTTTTGAGGTGACAACATCTTTACACAGGTTTGAGCTTTGACTACGGCTAATCTTTTCAAACTTTGAAGCCATGAGCAATTGAGTAGAGGTTTTGTTTGTTTTGTTTTTTTTTTTTTGTTTTTTTTTTTTTTTTTTTTTTTTTTCGGAACGATAGAGAAACTATTATAAATAAAAACCTTGTGCGAAGAAAAGTACAAAGCTCCCAACGGGAGAATAAAATAAGAGGACAGGTCTGACGACCACCTAGAATCTCGATACTAGCAACGCTAGAAACCAAAAACAAGACTCACGACACAAAACACACGACAAACACTAAGAAAAACTATAAGACTTCCAACAGGAGACAGGAGCAGATCCCCAACAAGATAATAAGCTTGCTCCCGCTCAGATACAGAGGCCAACGGCCCAAACAAAAACCACAATCCTACAAAAGAGACCAAAAAATAAACAGGACAAACCAAAAATCACACGGAACAAAACTAAACAATACGAGCCCTTCCCAAGCAGCCAAACCAATCAAAGCCAGCGGATACCAAGTCGAACCAATGTTAGTCCCTCCACCAAATATGACCAACCCCGAAACTGCCAAAAATCAACTCAGTTGTCTAAAGGAGTCGAAAGCCAAGCCTCGAGACATCACCCATCGTCCACTCGGACCATGGCCACAACACCCAACTTATCCCCAAACCGCTATAGAACCGAACCCTCTAACACCACTAGAGGGGCTCGGCGGTACCGGGTCACCCCCCGAACCTCAGTGTAAGAAACAGGGGAAAGAAACAAGAAAATGCCAAGGCCCCTGACCCAACTCCCAAAATCGCCTGAACACTGCCGTAAGCCCTCCACACCACCGTTGCACCACGCCGGCCAACACCACTGGCCTGAGAACGGGAGGACCGACCCTCCCTGACCCAACACCAGAGCACAAGTGAGATGAGGACCGAAACAGCGGCGTAGCTCCGCCCTTCCGCAACCAAACGCCGCCGAAGACCGATCCACGTCCCACCCACAGATTCGCACCCCTTCAAAGTCCACCACTCCGACAAGACCGCTAACCTGGCCACCCGCAAAAGGCGAAATCCATCAAGAGTAGATTGAAGGCGGACTCCATGACAACAGAAGGAGAAGCGCGAAACGAGGCGGGATTCAGGCGGCCGAGAGCCGGCCGCGGCTCGACTCGATTGCTACTGAGGAAGGCGAAAAAAAATCCGATGAGAGGCGACGGCGGGTGAGCGAGAGAGAGGAGAGAAATTAGGGTTGAGAGAGAATGCACTCTAGTTACAGTCAATCATAGAGGGGGTTTTTTTAGGGTTCAAATTTTGAAGCTCAAAATCAAAACTCAAAAATTGATTTAGGGTTTAAAATTTCAAAATTGAAGATGGATATGATCAAATGAAAAAAGGATTTGTCAAACTGTGGTGGATTTTATAATTAATTTAGGGTTTGGAAGTCGAAACTCAAATCGAAATCGATGAAATTTCAGATCTTTTTCTTCGGTTAATCNGCAAGCCAAAAAGAACCTGGCACTTACATGATGAAACTGTTTGCCGATTTTCGGACTGAAAATCTCACCCCTAAACGGTTCTCGATTTAATACCAACAATTCATATACAAAATAAAAAATAATTTCTTCTTCGATATAAATTAAACTAATAGGCATCTGTTAAAATCAATTTTAAAAATTGTGTGAAAAATAAGTATTTAGTTAAATATTAATGTAAATAATTATTTCAAGTATCAACAACACATTATATTATAATGTATTAATAGGTCAACCATTGTATAAATCACTGACTAAAAAATTGCTTATATATTACCAATAAAAAAAATGAATGACTTAGTTATTAAATACGATAATTCATATATATTAAACTTTAAATATTTATACAAAAGTGAATTAATATATATTAAATAAATCGATTCGACTACTGGTCAGACCAGTGAACCATTAAACCAGTAGCTTCACCAGTTCGATGACCGGTTCAATTTTCAGAACTTTGAATTAAAGGATCATTTTTACTTTTGTTTGAATAATAACTAAAATAATTCAAATTTATATATTCAATCATTTATTCTAAGTAAAAAAACATGGATTATTTTAATAGTTAGAATATTTCATTCTTCCCGAGAAACGCTGCAAAATGTAATAATACTTAATGCAAACAAATGGTGGAAACAATGCAGAAAACTAAAGTTACAACCTTTCCAAATTTGGCCCAAAAAGATTGGGTGGGAAAATGAGCTCTAGCTATTTTCAGACATGGCGGCTTAACTCCTTGAAGTAGTTGAGGGTGTGAACGAAATTTATAAATGAGAGGAACAAAAGCTCTGCACGAATGCCGAAATCTTATTTCTGATAAACACAATGAACATCTAGACACAGAAAGCACAATCAACAACCTATTTATTTGTAGCAACAGTACACACTTTATAAAATCAGAAAGTGAATATGCAGCTGAGTTAAACCGGAAACATTTCTTTATCTGTCTGGAAGATGACATGGCACAAAAATATCCAAATCAAGTCAAAGTAAGGATTTGAGACAAAGCAAAATATGTTGGACATGCATGTTCTTTTAGGTTCACTGACAAGTCCATGAGAATAAAGGGAATAAATAAACAAAACAAAGACAATTTTTGAGCCATTGTTCTCACTCGGCTGATCCATCTGTTTTGTGGTCGGCAGAACAACACGCGCCACCATGGTGGTGGTGGTGGTGGCCATGGTGCTTCCTTCCATTCAGTTGTTTCCTCATATCATAAGCATCCTCTCCATCTGCATAATACTTTGCCTCAACATCATGAATCTTGTACCCTAAAGTCCCAGTGTACAAGTTAAATGCAGCCTTGTTGCTTTTCCTGACGTGCAGAGACACATATTCAGCTCTATACACCTGTGTACAAACCAAAACTCGTGAAAATTAGCTGCACGTGAACAACAAAGTTAGCATCTTTACGTTAATATGAGATTTACTTAAAGTTCATGTAAAAACAATTAAGATTATTTCAAAGCTCTATAGTAACCGTTGAAAAACATAAACAAACTTTTCTTCATAAGACGCTAAAGAACCCGCGTCAGCTATATTTTGAAACATATTCAGCTTCCAGGATATCTCTGAGATAGTTTGATCATCGGTACATTCAACAGACTCTATTTATTTATTTATTTATTTATTTTTATTTAAGGCAGTTGCATTTGTAATTTGTATACTTTGTTAATGCATTATGAATGGTATTCCAAGCTCTCACAACATTTTCCTAGCCTCAACATCAAAGTACATAAATGGCAACAGTATTCTTCTATTTCTTTAGAAAAGACATTCCTACATAAAAACTGCATTTGATGACAGCAACAAAAACATTGAAATTATAATTAACTTTTCAACTAGTAGATAGTTTTCATCAATTTCCTTTTACCCAATCCACATGGAGCTCTATTTTTAGATGGATAGTTACCATAGTATCTCAGCATAAGCGTAGAACTTGTCTTTACATCACACTCCAAAACGGTTCCCATCTATTCAAGCATTTTATTACAAGTTATCCAAAAATGTTGTGAATTAAGCAATCTAAAGCTACAGTATTCATACCAATGACATCAGAAACTAATCAAACAATCCAAACAAAGTGGTATAGTATAACATTAAGGAAATAGAACAAATAGCAAATACACCAGCAATCCCACCTGACCTGGGTTAGCAAAGTAAAGGAGATGCCTAATGATGATTCTTCCCCAGCATTCTCATAGAACACAAATACAAACACAAATTAAACCAACAAAAATGAATAAACGGACCTCAACATAGGCATTTCAGCATCAGCAAGGTTCAATTTTTATCCTTTTTATGAAAAATAACTTCATGAAATTAAGATACCATATATTGAAATTGGTCAAAAACAAAAGGAAAAAGAGACAAAAATGTATCGAACAATGCACCTGCTCCATGGCGTTCTGAGCGGCAGTCATGAGCTTAGTGGCGAGGCCGAGCTTGCGGTGAGTCCTGAGGACGGCGAGTGAGGTTATGTGGCCGTGGCACTCTGTGGATTCCTCCTCCATCTTTGCCAGAACATAACCGACAATCTTGCCGTTGTAATCCTCGGCGACGTAGAGGAGCTGCGGCCACGAGAGAATGTGATATAGATAGTATTTCATCTGGTAATTCTCCGGTAGGCAGAACAGATTGCATTCCTGCATCGCCAGCAGGTCATCCACCGTTGCTTTCCTGATGCAAACCATTGTGGTAATGAATTGATAGCGTCAGAGAATTTGGGAGTTAGGGTTTGGCTATTTCTCGATTTGGCCTGGATTTGGAATTGGAGATGGGGTTATTAACAGGGATTGCCGTCTGAGTAATTACTCACTTTCCCCCCTTTTTTTTTATTTTTAGAAATCATATATTTCAATAAAACAAGCACATAACTACAACCGGCTAACTAGTTGAACACATGAGGTCTACTCAAGGTATGTTAAGAGCGTGCTTATATGCAAATATATCCGTTCAAACCAATTTTTTTTATTAACCATGGTTAATTTAGATAAAAAATAGTATGATTAGTTGTTAGTTGAATTTTGAGTTTATAATAAAATAATTTAAGTTACTTTGATGTAAAAGTATGAAAAGTGATGATTAGTCAAAATTATATTAGTGTATGAATAGTGAATTAAAGTTGATGTGATTTGCAAAAATGATTGGTCGATATTATTTAATTATATTGATAATATTGAGAATAATGAGGTTGAGTTAAAGTTGAATTAGATTTTTAGAATGAGTGAAAATAATTGATAAACAAACATAAAAAATTCTATGGAGCCATCAAATGGTTTTCTTATGGAGTCATCCACCACTTAATGTATTGACACTTGTCCAAAGTGTACTTATTGCAGGACACGTGTCAATAAACTATTGGTGAATAAGTGTGGATGACTTCATAAGCCGAGTCATCCAATGACTCCATAGCAAACTGAAACAAACATACCCTAAATGCCACATAACAACACAAAAGAAAACTTCAACTAGTGGAGAATACACACTCTTAAAAGGGAGAATACACGCTCCCAAAAATGAGAGAAAACACAAACACACACTTACACCACAAAACAACGTAAAAACTACAAACCGACTTTAAAGTAAATTAAAGCCCTCCTCGAAGACTGGAAAACAACTCTGCAACGCCACAATTCTGACCTCGAGATTAACCACTCAAAATAGACAGAGACCTGGACCAATGCACCAAACCAGAAACTGTAGTATCGCTACGCCTAACTAGAGCCGAGCCTCCAGACCCAATCTCTCTCGCAGACTGACGATTCTCGGACCAAATCCAGAGATCAACTCAAAACACCAATCCTGACCGGCAAACAAAGGCCGACGGGCCACCGGAGCCATCAACCCACACCCACCGGCTAGCCCCATCACCCATCCCTAGGACAATGGGGAAAACATGGGATAATAAAAACCAACAAAGCCCCAAACCTCCAACCCCTACACCCACGGGCATCATGGACCAACAGCAACCGTCGCCCTGACCATTACCCTCCGGCGAACCCTCTGTCCCACACCTGGCAAGAAAAAAATGCAAGGGGGTGAGAAGAGTCTAACCTCTACTCCGATGACCACCTCGGGTCCTGCAAGGCAACCTGTGATTGAGGCGAGGCCCTTGCTCGGCTGAGAGATCCACGACTGGGAGGGACCGGAAGCATGGCTCTAGGTCAGCCAGCACTGTGGCGACGCGGAGCGCTCTGGTGGGAGGAGTCGGCCAGCGAATTCTTGGGCTAGGTTTTATACTAAGACAATTTGGGGAAAAATAGGAGAGAGAGGGAGGGCGAGAGAGATAGAGAGAGAGAGAGAGAGAATTTACTTTCTTTCTCACTCTCCTCTTTCATTTTCTTCCCATCTTATAACTAATATTTTCATTTAACCAAAACTAATGGATTCAACAGATACAATACCATGTATTAGACATGTGTTTGTTAAAAAATTTATATTTAAAATTTTAAATAATTATAAAATATTTATTTTTAGATATTTTTTAATATTAATTACGATTTTATGTTTAAAATGACCGTCATCACTTATAAAACTTACCATATAATATTATAATATTTTATTAAAAAATTATATCATTTCACAATTTCGTAGTAAAATTAATTGAAGTGATCTTATTTTTTGAATTAATAATAATAGGTAATTTATTTTTTATTATAAAAAAGTATATAATTATTTATTTATTTGTATGTATAATTTATGTGTCAAATCAAAGCTCATGAAGACAAAATTTTCTCATTTGAGAGTAGGGCTCGCGATTCTCTCATTTGGGAGCTTCAATCTTTCGTTTTTCTCATTTTGCTGAGTGATTGAATCCACCTTTCATTCTCTTGTGTTTATTTAGGTTTTTCCCTTTGTTTTTCATTTCTCTCGAATCGCTTCATGACAGAATCAAGCTGTGTTGGGCAGGATGAAGACCTAGCCAATCGACTTAAGGGTTTTTCATTATCCGATAAAGAAAGTTCAGTGATTGATATTGTTCATACGGATATCAAATTGAGTGTAGTTGAATGTCAGCGTACTCTCTTCGACAAAGTGATAGGAGATCGTAAAGCTCACTGGATAGGCATTAAGAGAACTATGAGGCACATCTGTAAATTGCAACAACAAATGGAGGTCAAAGAACTCGGGCATAACTTCTTTCAATTTATATTCCAGAGCAAGGAGGACATGAGGAAAGTAGCTAATGGAACTAGCTGGAGCGTTGAGAACCAATAATATTTAATCCTTAAAAAATGGGAGAAAGGATTATCTAAGAAGCACCCCGCATTTGAGGTAGGGCTACAAACGAACCGAACGGCTCGCGAGCCACTCGCGAGCGCTCGAGCTCAAGTTTGACCAAACTCGAGTCGAGCTCGAACGGCTCGAGCTCGAGCCCATATTTTGCATTGTCGAGTAGCTCGTCGAGCGGTTCGAGTTATATGTGAAGTTATTAAAATGCCCCTTATATATTTAGCATAGGTGCTTAATGGTAATTTTACCTTTCCACTTAAAAATTTTCGAGCAGAACTCGAGCCAAGCTCGAGAATTTTGATTTCGCGCTGAGCACGAGCTATTGTAATTTTTTATCGAGTCTAACTCGAGCAACTAAAAAAAATTCAATCCTGCTCGATAAGGCCAATGCTCGACTCGACTCAGCTCGTTTGCAGCCCTAGTTCCAGGAAATCAACATATGGGTTCAAGTGTTAAACCTACCTCTCAATTGGCTAAGTACAGAGGTAGGACTTAAAATTGGCAGAGCCTTTAAGTCAGTTCAAAATGTTGTTATAGTTAGTTCTTGAAATCACGGTGGGAGGATTATCAGATTATTGGTTTCTTTGGATCTCAATGAACCGCTGCCCAGGTGTACAAATATTAGGCTCGATGATCAAATTGTCAGTGTGGGTTTCAGGTACGAGAAATTGCTTAACTTATGCTACTACAGTGGTCTCATTGGCCATCTTGACCGAGGCTGTAGCAAGTGGATGGATGACATTATTGTTAGAGTAGGGTACCCGGCGTTCCAATCGGATTGGACGTATTCTACTTGTAAATACGATCTATTGGAATTATATTATAAATAAGGCAATACTTTATTTTAAGAGTACGCGTTTATACTATAAATGCACTTAAGATAAAGTCCCTAGATCACTTATGGTTATAAGGTATGGTTGCGCATAGAGATGGTGATCATGGAACATACCTTGAAAGCCGTGATCTTAAATACAGTTCCAAGTCGATGGATGTTTCGAGATGGGATATCGAATAATCCATAAAAGACTTGCACATAGTTTGTATGCTTGTTGGACAAGAATGTTGCATTCCATCAACATTAGCGTAAGACGTAAGTACATTTATGTGGGTGCTTGTTAGAGAACAAGTTCACTGAACATGACCGTATGAAAATTCTTAATGAAGAATTTATTCAGTCGAATAAGAATTTTCATGTTACAATAGTACATGACTAATCCTAAGACTTGAGGCACAATGGTAACTTTGTGCATATTACATTCTACTTTGATTTATCCTTTTGGTAGCTAGCACTATCGTTTAAAGGGATAAGTTGGGTATTATGTTAATATGTATGGAAGTTTGTTAGTGGCCAATAAAGGATTCGACACTTATGAAGATAAGTGAATTTCCTATGTGTTTCATAGTTATTAATCCAAAGTCCTTGGCCAAGGCAGAGATGAATAGTGATTCATAACCGGGTTAATAAACATGAAATAGAATCATAGTTATTAAGTCAATTTGGGTTTCGACAAAATCATACCCAAGACTTAATCGGGAAATTAGATGTCGAAAGGATTTTACATGTATGGAGTTGTAATCGGAATAGGTTTACTCGCTATTCACTTAATACTAGATTCATGCTACTTGCTAGGTGTTACCATGATATGTGGGTTCATAAATTAAAGGGTTAATTCATGAATAAGAGTTAATAAGATTTAACTCAAATTACAAAGTGTTGTAAACCCACTACTAGTATTAAGGTGAACCTAAAAGGTCACACTAATTATGAACAAAGGTAAAGATTGTATTTCTAATGGTTAGAATTAATTGATAAATATCTAATTTGATTAGATATCAATTAAAGGAATATATTAATCAATAAGATTGATTAATTACATTTTGGATATTACTTTAGTAATTAAGGTAATTACTAAATTAATAAAGTTGAATTTTAAAATAGGATTTTAAATTTCAAAAATCCAAAATAATAATAATATGATTATTATAATATTGGGAAAATGATATAATAATAAAGTCTTGAGAAAGATTCTCAAGATTTATTATCCAATTATTATTTATATCTTTAAATATGATTTAAGGATTAAAATAATAAATATGATTATAATAAAATGGTTGTTGATGGTTGTTTGAACTACTTAACATATCTTATTATTTTCAAAGTCAAAAGTTAGTAAATACTATTTAAATAAAATTTGATTTTATTTAATATTACTAAATGTTGATTATTTTATGCTAAAATGTTTAGTATAAATATATGCAAAATGGTTTTGCATTTAAGTGAAGTTTTTGATCCTAAATTTCTAAGTGTTAGAAAGAGAAGAAAGTGTTCTTCATAAAACTTCAAGAAAGAGTTCTTAAAATTCCCAAATAAAATTCATAAATATTCCTATACAAGAAAACCGAGTCTTTTCTACTAGCGAAGGAAAGTCGTCGGAACCGGGCTTCATAGGGTGGATACGTTTAGAGGGAAGACACTTGGATTCCTCTAGCGAGTAACCTCAAGTCGTTGAAGTTACAACCGGGAACCGATTCCCTCATCCATCATCAATAGTGAAGGAGTTCAAGACATTCGGTAAATATTTTTACTAGTATTTACTTTATAGTAACAAATCAAAATTTGTATATGATGCA